TTAATTTGGGGAAAGAGTAATCAGAGTCCATAAAGATATTAGCCCTGAAGTCTGGTTTTCATGCATAGTAAAGCATATCCTGTGCAGAAATGAAACTCATTTGATCTTTACATTCATAGTGAAACACTAAGAATTTCCTACCCGGCAATGAAAATACAGCAGGCATTCTGGTTCACGTCGCTGTGTTTGTTCCCTGATTACTCTTTATTGGTCTGTGTGGATGGTTGTACAAGCCCTAATTTACATGAGTGAATTCCAAAAGCTAAAAATGATGCAATCTACATCAGTAAGAGATTCCTCTGGCACCTCTTCTACTAAGCTGAAGAGGTCCCAGGACACTCTGGACACCCAGGACACTCAGGACACCCAGGACACCGCCTTCCTCTCCATCCAAAGCTATGAACCAGAAGGCGAATGCCAGTGAAGCTGAGAGAAACCATAGGTTCAAAGTCTCCAGATTAGCCCCCACTAAAGTATAGAATACAAAATGTTAATTTGAACTCATGTTTCTGGGACAAAGTGAACACATGTAAGTTTAGGACTTTAACAAAAGTATGTCTGAGGTTCCAAATATATTACACAGTTAAAAAGGTTTTAACTGTGTTTGTGGGTTTTTCTTTTTCACAACAAGAATAAGTAAATTAAACTAACATTAAACATGTACAAACTTTCACAACAACGTTATTGTATTTGACAGGATAGACTGGATGCATATATCTTCAGCTCTGCACTTTGTCATTTTGCCTTAGAGTCAGGAGATTATGTCGAAAGACTTGGAGGATTGGAGTGACTCACTCCATCTCAGCAGGATGCAGCCGAGTCGATTTCATTTTTCTGAAATATCTTTTAAGTAGAAGAACCTCATGTTTCTTGGTTGAATTACTTATTTATGAAACACTTCTAACTTCGTCTGCCATCTAGTGGACAAGTCACGACTAGCACATTTTGGTTCGGCGTTAAAATCAAACATCAATACGTCTTTGGATACAATGAAGAACATGTGAAAAACATTCTTTATGTTTTGGAACGTAACCTAAAAAAATTAAATCATATGTCATTGTACAACAGTAAGTGGCAGAGTGAATATTTTATAAAACTTTTTGTATTCAGTTGAAGTTTTGTTTCTTTTTTTGTGGAAAAAAAAAAAAAATTAATTTTAAAAATCTTTTTAAAAATTAAAAAAGATTTTTAATTTTAAAAAATTAATTTTTTAAAATAAAAAAAGAGAAATAAAATTATATTTTATTTCTCTTTTTTAAAAAAGCATAAATGAATAGAATTGATTCTAAGTTAGTAAATAATGTTCCGCATCGATCAGAAAATAGGATAATTGTGTTATGTTTAAATCGCTAGAAAATGAGCTAAAGACTAGAAAATATACTACTGTGAAGAAATTTTTTCCGGGTTACTCTTTTAATTTCTTAAAAATAAAAGGCTGTCTAATACAGTTTACAAACGCAAGAGGCAGTTTTGTCGAAATACATCCAAATCTTTGTGTGAGATTATGATATTTAAAAATATAAATCTTACGGAAGTTTTCTGAAACAGTCTCTGTATTGCTTAAATCATAATTTTGAATGAAATTACTGAGTCACCTATTAAAGGACCTTTATTTTAAAATGTTTCAGCTGACGAAGTGTGCCTCATTTCCGCTTTCCTGTGATTGGCTAGCCTTTCTGTGGCTGCTGATGTGTTGTTCGGAATTTAGCAACTCTTCTCCGGTTAATTCAAACCGAGTATTTCGGTGCTGTTTTGTAGTTTCATCGAGTGAAAACAATGCCTTACTATCAGACTTGGGAGGAGTTCGCTCGGGCAGCAGAAAAGCTGTACCTGGCGGATCCGATGAAGGTAAAACAAAGCAAAATAAACGAAAGATTTGCTTGAAATAAGCGCTACCGGCTAACACGCTGCTTAGCTGGCGACGTGTTGACGCTGACTGCTGACTCTCCTGTTTAACTGTTGAATCTGTGGTTGTATGTACAGGTCAGGGTGGTGCTGAAGTACAGACATTGCGATGGTAACCTCTGCATCAAAGTCACAGACAACGCCGTGGTGAGTCACGACCAGAACCCAGAGAACCAGGGATTAACTTTAACACTGCAGTTTGGGGAAGTTGGCTTCTGATTCGAAATCTCCTTATCTGCTATTTCACAACTTTCAATTAGCTTGGACTGAATTGAGTGAGTGTTTCACAAATTGAGCTGTGGAATAATCTATCTGCCTATAAAAACAGGAAGAATTACCCTTTACTACTTCATTACATAGCCCTTGGGGTTTAAACCTGTGTGTTGCTCTCTCAGTGTTGATGTAAAGCATTTGACCTGAGTAGAATAAACGGGATTGATTGCTTTCAGTTTTATTGACTGACTGGCTGTTTTTGGGACAAAAACAAGACACTTGATTTCCTCACCCTAATCTCCTGCTGTGAATTTTAAAAAATTGCTAAATGTTGCAAACGAAATGTTCGGTTTTCATCTGCAAGGTAGGAAAAATCAGACACACAGGTTGATCTGTCTGAAACTGACTGGATCGCCATGGTAACACAGGCTGAACTCAAACCCTCCTCAGGATGATCATAGAAGTTGTTCGTAAGAAGTCCAACCTGTTCCACATCTTCTTCTACATCAAGTTGAGTTTTGGACCAAAACTGTTATGGCATCAGATGCTTGCCTCACACTGGAAAATTTTTAAGTTCTGAATTGATATCAAATGAATGTATGATAATGAAGAAAGTACTATCAGAGTCCAAGTTGAAATTCGAGACTTACAGTGATGGTGCAACTTTACAGGTTTCTCCTGTTTCTGCTTTTTTTTGTATCAACTAAATACAAATGTTTCTGTATTGAGCCCTTTTAGTAGGAGTTCTACTAAAATCTCTCTTGTTGGAAAGCCAGAATCTAATGGATAGATGAAACAATTATCTGAGTGATTTAAATTGATGTCATTTACTAACCTGACAAAAATCAGCCCCTTGTTCTAAGCTTCACTTTGTACAGAGGGTCTGAACCCTCGACTATTAATAAATGATTGCTTGCTGGATGCATAGACTCTGCAAAAGTTTAACAATTTACCCAATTGCTAATATTTGGTTGTGACAAAATGCAGTTGTTTGATACTATGAATTGCCTGTGCACTGTGAAGAGAGATGTGCTGAGCAGAACACGATGGTTTTTAATGTTCATTCAATATTTACAAGCGTGTCCAGCGCCTACTGTGTAACTTCATTCTGCCATTGGTAAACTACAATGACAGTTTACCATTGTGGACTGCCATGATACAATTCTAAAACTACAGTTCTACTGTAGTCAAGACAGGCAACAGAAGTTCAATCAGAGAAATCAAGTTCAGTTAGAGAAATCTCAGACGGGGCACTGAAGGGAGATGAGAATCCACCAGAATCATATTTGGAGTCAATGACAAGGCTAGTTATTCATTTAAAATTGACAATATAAATGTGCAAAATTGAAACATAATCTACAAGAGATCCTCTGAACCAGCTGACAGTCTTTTCAGTGTTCCCCTGCCATTCTTGGCCAGGTCTCTCTTGGAAAACAGATTTTTAAAAATTATTTAAAGAGACATATCTCATTAACTAAACTTACTTCAGTCATTTAAAATCTGACTAGTGAAGCTTTTTAAAGCTACTAGTCTGGTACGTTTTGATCAATTCCTTCAAAAGATTCCTCTCTCTGGCCTCATGTCCTATATGTTCCATCTTTACAGTGTCTACAGTACAAGACAGACCAGGCTCAGGACGTGAAGAAGATTGAGAAGCTCCATGGAAAACTGATGAGACTCATGGTGTCCAAGGAGACCCACAGCGGCTCCATGGAGATGGACTAACACGCCCTAGATGCACTTTGCTTTTGGAACGCCGGGACTAATTTCAGAGGACTTGTTTGTTGTAGAGCACAGAGAGGCTCCAGTGGAGGAGACTGAGAGACATTGGTCACCCAGAGGGGATGTGGAGGGAATAATCTGATTGGCTACACTGATGGAATAATGTCAGAGGAGAGATTAATATTCGGTGTATGTATTTCTTCTCTGAGGATTTTGTTTTATCCCATCTCAGTACATTAAATACAATCAGATTTTGTTTTCAGACATTCTAAACACACATCTGATAGTATTAGTGAAATCCAGTGTAGGCTGTTGAGATGGTTAAGGAACTAGACGACGATGGGAAGAAAAATATCTACTTTAGAGGAGGCTACATTTATTTTCTGTTTTCAGGGGGGTAGATTTTGGTCTATGCCTATTTGATTTCATTTCAATGCTGTATTTGATTTCATTTTGCATTTCCTTATCTACTTGTGCTCATATGAAGCTGTTTCCTCCGCAAGCGAGGAAGTATCCAGTTTTTACAGAGAAATCTCCACATTTCCGAAAGCCAGAGTGATTTCAATAAATGTTTATTTTCTCTGGTACAACCAACATCCCTACTGTAGTTTTTCTAATGTTAGCATTGTTGCTTCCTGATGCTACTTCCCAGGTGAGAAGAAGAAGCCCCAACCCAGTAGACGGCATGTGCAGTCAACAGTTCTGAAAGATGTTCGTTCAGTTATTTCACTTTGCGACTACAACAAGCCCAAATAACTGAATCTACAACAGAAATAAAAGGATTTAGGAAACCAGTGGAACCTTCTGATCTTTGAAACAGACAAAAACAAATTTAGATTTTTGGGAAAGAACATTGCACATCAGTGTGGTTAATAGTATCATCTGAGGGTTGCATCATTTTTTTCGATCGAGTTCAGAAGAAAAATTTAATACATTTTATAAAAATATTTTCCGAGTGTCAGTTTTTATCCAAATGATTTAACTCAAATGTATAATATGCGGCTTTGATATCAAATGGAAAGTAGCAATTATTTTTATGATTACTGTCAACTGGAAAGTATAATTTAGTTGTTTTTTTAATGGAAAATATGACTTATAGTGCCACAGTGAATACATCACAAAGCACTACATGTCCCATCATCCTCTTCTCAAGCTCAAAGAGCAAAAACTCCTCCTGCCTGTTTCCTCTGTTCGTGCTCAGTGGGATTTTAACTGTGTGGACAATATGACTAAATGTGTGAAAGTCGTGAAGTAAAGAACTGTGCAGGAAGAAAGGAAAGCGGCAGAGTTTGGGAATAAAACGAGCATAATAACGACACCGTCCGTCCTCCTGTCCGTCCACCGCGGCCCGTCTGCCTGTGAGCCGTCCTCCTGCTGGCCTGTGGGACTTCAGGTAAAAACCTTTCAGAGTGGGAATTCTCCCATGAATTAATGAACAGTGAAAGCTGTTTTCTCTGTTTTATACACGAGGCGAAATTAGAGAGTCGTTAAAGTCCCCAGAGACAGTTGCGTTCACTGGGCGTAGGAACACAACTTCAATGGGACTTCCACAGAAGAAACAGCTGAACTCTTCCATCTTATTCTGGTAATAACATGTTCGGCTTTGCATTTGCGGGGTCTGCCTTTAATATACATCGACTCGCTACCTGTAAGCAGGGGGAAATGTGTTGTTGTGTTGCAGGAAGAAGTGTGACTAAACTTTTAGACCATTTTTAATGAAAGACAGTCTGCTCCAGAAAATAGCCATGGATATCCTGCGTTCAGGCTCCAGTCGGGTCACTGAACTGCGTCACAACGACATCCAGAGACCCAGAAGGCTGTTCTCTCAACCTCCGCCCCTGTTCCGCCGGTTGACCGCAGAACCTGAACGTCTTCATGGAAACAGGAGTGATGAGGTCCATGTCGGTACGGAGAAGCTTCGTCATGCAGCTCTCAGGCTGGATCAGTGCTGCCCTGTAATCCCGTCAGCTGGTCCCAGACACAACAACTCAGACCCTGTTTCGGTCCACTCAGCCTCCCGCTGGGTCTGGAGCCAGAGAAGGATTGTGGCTCAGCTTTGGGTCACACCACAGACTCATGGGCTTATCCGGTTATTCTGAGTCAATCTCTGTCTGAAGTCGTTGAGACCTTTTCTCAAACTCACACATTTTTACTTTAGTTTAAAGCTGTGGAAAGTCGGATTTTTAAAATCACACACACAACATAAAACAAACTAGTGATCCTAAGTCTGCATCATGGTGTTCATGTTCATGAATGTTATTTTGTTATTTAATAACATTATTTTGTAATGTTATTTTGATTTATTTTGGCACTCGTAAATTGTAAGGTGTGATGAAAGTATTTATGTTATTGTTACTTTGAGTTTTTGTCTTCTGGTTCCATAAGAACATCATTTAAAATCATCCATCCTAAACTCCATCCTGTCAAAATCATATGGTGCCTTGTTTCGATTCCATCCTAAGCTTAAACTGATCAAATTTACACTGCATCTAGCATTTATGTCCTGTGTTAGAGACAAGCTCTGAATGATCAATAGTTCATTGAAGTTCTATCAGTTCATCAGTTTATAAACATTTTACAACCCAGTTCAGCCTCTCCTCTCTCCAGTAGTGGACCAGGAGTGTGAAAGTCCAAGGCAAAAGACTGATAGGGAGCTGCTCCTTCACAGACTTGCTGCTCAGACCATATGAGCCCATTGCACAGGGAGCTGCTCCTTCGGTTTCTATGGTGTTCTATCTGGGATTTTCTTCATCATGAATATTTACAGTCATCAAAATCTACTTTTTAGTGAGGGAGACTTTAGCGTCTCCGTACAGCTCTGGAAAACTTAGCATGCTCTGCTACCATTCGGTGTAAACAATGCACCTAAACTATATGGCGTGGTGTTTGACACAATCCCCAGAGGTCCTTTAAAACTTCCATTTATGTCTACCGCCATGTCAAAATCATATGGTGCCTTGTTTCGATTCAAGTTCCATTTATACTGAAGTAAGAAAATAACCAACAAAATATTAAGTAGATGGGTTTTTTTGTTGTTGTTTTGTTTTTTTAATTGAGACAGAAAGTTCCTATGTCCCTATCTGCTAAAATACTGATAAAAATTTTGTTCATTGGTTTTGGGATTATAGTTACACCAAATTATTTTGACAATTTTCTTTCATTAAAAAAATTAACATAACTTAACCTTAACAGATACGTATGTTTTACTTAGAATGGCTAAAATGTGTCCTTGGTGTTACATAATTTTTATATGTTATTAACGTTTTTAGTATTTATGGTAAACATCACATTCACACCACCAAGCATTTACAAGAAAAACCTTATTTCCAGATTGTATTGTCTTTTATCAATTATTATATTGAATGTGTATAAGCTAAAATGAGCAAAAATGCTAAGGTTAGCTTATTCTGTGCGCATCTTGTGTTTTAAGTTCTGTCTTTCTTATTGTATCTTTTAGTGACTAAATGAAAAGTTTATTTACAACTTTATGTCTGATTCTGTTTATGTTTCATTTTTCTACAGAAACATAATGTTCACAGCACTGCTGGTTGCCCTGGTGATTGGAGGATTGATTATCTTCCTGGTTCAGAGGCGGAAGAACCAGGTTCTGAAAACCGAGGATGGTTGGTGGGGGGCTGGAGCGCCCTCTGATGGTGAGGAAGACCTCACCATCCGGTCTTTTAAAGTAACCACCAGTGATGAGGAGCTGGAGGTGAGCTAATCAAACGCACCTTTGACCCCGCAGTATCCTTTCCAGATCTTCATCCTGTCCTCCCTCATTCTGTTGTCCCTGTTGTCTCCTAGGACCTGTATAGGAGGATGGACCAGACCCGTCCTGTTCCCTCGCTGGAGGACAGCCAGTTCCATTATGGCTTCAACTCCCACTACCTTCAGAAGGTGGTCTCTTACTGGAGAAAGGACTTTGACTGGAGGAGACAAGTGGACAAACTGAACCAGTACCCACATTATAAAACCAACATTGAAGGTGAGACTTCACAGCTGACATGTTCATGAAAAAGCTACGCAGATAACCTTGACCTCTTTCAACTTCTAACCAGGCATTGACGTTCATTACGTGCACGTAAAACCCAAGACGGTGCCTGAGGGGACAAAAGCCATTCCCCTCATAATGGTCCATGGCTGGCCCGGCTCATTCTATGAGTTCTATGGGCTGATCCCCATGTTAACAGAGCCTTCGGATCCTGGTCAGCTTGTGTTTGAGGTGGTGTGTCCATCCATTCCAGGCTACGGCTTTTCTGAAGCACCGCGGAAGAAAGGTCAGTTTGGAAGGACTCACGCTGAATGTTGACTCTTGCTCAGTATTGGAGAGCTAAAGGTATCGTGGCAGTTGGTAAAGGTAAAGGTAACGCAATTACCATGTCAGTTTCATGACAATAAAAACAAGGTGAAAATGCTACTCGGCCTGAATACTCTGGCAAAAGCCAGGTGGTTTGACCTACAAACACTCAGCCAGTGTTTGTGACTCCGGGTGGACCCACTACTTTTTATTGTTGTCATTAAACACAAACAAAAAATGTTTACCATGCAAAATACTTTTTAAAATGCATAAAAGGTGTTCACTTTATTTCAATTGCTTCAATGTTCACCTTTAAATGTGTCTGTAAGGCTTCATGATAAGTTTTTTTTGTCTTTTATTAGAAATTCCACCCATAAAGAAAACAAGTTGAATATATCTGTAGGAATGTGAATGTATCAGCTGTGATGCATCTGGCACATGCACATAGCATCAATGTTTCAACTTTATCCAGAAAACCAGGTGCAGATAAGAGGATTCACATACACATAAACATCCTTGAACTTCAATCAGTCTGATGTCTTTTTATTGACTCCCATTCATCTTAGTTATTACATTTATCCCCAACCCAGACATTGCAGATAACCCTAACATTACAAGTCTATTCCTTACCCTACCCTTAACCAAAACTTTGTTCACTCCATTCCTCTGAACCTAACTAGTAGTAGAAGGGTGGTAGTTCTCAGAAGTTCTCAGAGTTTGCAGTAACTGTAACGTTTCTCTCTCTGCCCATCTATGAACAGGTTTCGATTCTGTATGTGCTGCACGCATCTTCCACAAGCTGATGAAGCGTCTCGGTTTCCAGCAGTTCTATGCTCATGGAGGAGACTGGGGCTGGCTGGTCACCACTAACATGGCTCAGCTGGAGCCCAAGTATGACTCAACACCCCTGGTTAATGACAGGTCCAGCTTAACTACGGTTCACACAACTCTTATTTCCTTCGCTCCCCTTAGAACTGTTAAAGGTCTGCACGTGAACTTTGCTGCGCCCTCCAAGCCGGGGCTGCTCATGACTTTGTCCATCTTGCTTGGCCGCCGCTTCCCTAAGTTGTTTGGATTCACTGAAACAGATGTAGAGCGACTCTACCCCTGCATGGAGAAGTTGGTGTTGGAATCCATCAAAGAATCCGGCTACATGCACATCCAGGCGACCAAACCCGACACAGCTGGTGAGAACTGATCATTCGATGCATTTTATTCTCCCTTGTGTCAAATGTTCTTGAAGTGTTTTGTCTTAAATTCCAAATAGCAGTGATTGTTTTGTTCTCTCAGGTCGCGGGTTGAATGACTCTCCTGTCGGTCTGGCTGCCTACATTCTGGAGAAGTTTTCCACATGGACACATCATGACTTCAGGAACCTGGAAGATGGAGGACTCACCAGGTTAGGAACAGGTGTTAAAGGGAGACGTTTTTCTCATGTTGAGTTAGGGATGGAACAGTAAATGTCTGGTACATCAATGTCAATTCGGCACCAAACATAAAGCCTTGACGGATACCTGAACTTCTGAAGGAGAGTTATGTGTGGAAAGAGTTCAACTTCAAAAAGTGACACTTAAACTAGAAACACCGCACAACTTTCAACAGCAAAATGTAACATATATTTCTCTAAACTATTACTACATTACTCACCTAAAACATTGTAAAGCTGAATGTGAACAACACTGATACTGGAGAAAAATTAGGTTATGTCCAAATCCAGCCGCCTGGAGCATCCAGTCAGGCCAAACTTCATATGTCATGTAAGGAGATGAATCTCCATGGATGAGACAGCAGACCTGCTGCATTCAGGGTGAGCTAGATACTATGTGTGGGAGTCCATTAACATCTTTAATTGAGTTAATCACACGGATTGTCATTAATCACATTGCATTTTAGTCTAAAAACCACATATATGCAAAATAAGCAACATTTTCAATAATAAAAAAAAACATTTTTACTGCTAAATTAATGGATCAGAAACTCCTGATCATCCACGGAGCTCTTTTAGAAATCTGGACTGATGACATTAACATTGAAGGTCTCTGTGCTGCTGCTACATGCTTAGCATTAAGATGCTATTTTAGGTTTGATTACCTTCACTGATAGGCTAAGTCCTTTTAGCACAACTTGGACATAACAACAGTCTTCTCCTGCGTCCCATCAGTTTGTTTTCTGAAGCAGGATTGAACCCAGTGACCAGTGGGTCAAGAGAAGCGGTTTTGTCGTCCATCGTTGTTGCTTGCTGATGTTTCTTGTGTGTCAAATTTACGGGTGAACTGGAAACACAATACAAAGGTTCCACCTCGGGAGTTTTATTTATTTTAAGTTTTTTGGTACTTACATATGACTGAATGTTTTTTTTTTTTGTTTGAAGCATAATTTCTGGGCACCATTTCACCATCAGATGCTGTATGAGTAAAATTCTGATCCATTCCTTACAGGAAGTTCTCTCTGGATGACCTGCTCACCAACGTTATGATCTACTGGACTTCAGGCTGCATCGTTTCTTCAATGAGGTTCTATAAGGAAAACTTTGGCAAAGGTCTGGACGCACCCCATGCTAAGTGAGTGAAAATCCAGTAAGATATGTCAAATCAGAGAAATCAGAGCCTTTAATGTTCAAACTATAAAGTAATTCTCTGCTTTGCTGAGGGCCGTTGTTATTATTCGATCACTTTCTGTTCCCAGGATACCGGTCTTTGTTCCCACGGGCTTCGCCTGCTTCCCCAACGAGTTGATGCATACACCTAAGCTTTGGGTCAAACAGAAATACCACAACCTCGTCAGCTATTCTCCCATGCAGCGCGGCGGCCATTTTGCTGCTATGGAGGAGCCCCGGCTGATGGCGGAGGACATCCAGCAGTTCATAAGATCAGTGGAGGAGATGATGAAGAAGAAGGAGTAGAAGGTCGATGAATAAGATGCCAAATGTTTTCTCCTGCATTTAGCCAAGAAAGGAGGTGATTTTTTTTCCCCCCCCTTAGTGGAATCAGAAGATTTTAGTGGATTATAACAACACATATTTGGGGCATGTAGTATTTAAATAGCCACTCACAACACACACCTAGCTGTCAGATGAAAGCAACTAAATAACTAGAGGCCTTTATATTACAGTTATTTGTTGCAGAAAACATGTATTTCAGAAAAAATGTTCCATCATTATTTCATCATTAGTTCTCCTTCAATCACAGCGTAGTAAAACTGACTGGTTTTAGAGCTGGTTTGTGTTAATAGACCAGCTGTTTTGTGGATATCTAGGCACTTCACTCACTGCAGCCTGGAGTGTTGAAAAGAGTAGAGTGAGCAGCTGCAGATGGGATGTCAGGGGGTAGCCAGTGTTATTGTGTTGACAGCATAGACAAGGTGCCAAGCATTCCTCTGACTGATAGCAGAAGTCCTCCACACTCAGACCACAGCCTTGCTGACTAGTCAGGTTTAATATTCAGCCGCGTTGCCGTTTAGATGCATTTCTGTTTTCCTGGAGTCAATTAAAAAATTGATTAAAGAGGCTGTGTTATGCAACATGTACTTTTTTGAGCTTATATCATGGTATAGTGTTATTCCCTTATCAAACCATATTTGAGTGTTGCTTAGATTCTTTCTTACACATTTCAGAAATAGTTTAGTCTCCATTGCAACCTTTCAGCTGGGCCATGTTGGCCCTTGCTCCTCTTTCGAGACGCATCTCCTCCTCAGAGCTGCAGTTTCCAAGTTTCCATCTCACAGAGCAGCCACAAATTCCCCACTCAGCTCCTTCAGAGCAGCCAGCAGCAATTAGCAAACACCTGTTGAGACTCATCTCAGTGAAACGTTGGTAAAAATGTTGTTAAAGGATTAATAGAGGAGTGCTGTTGTGATGATTTCCAGAAGGCGGTGTTTCAGGAACAGCAGGAGTTTTTAAAGAGACAAAGGCCCAATTTCAAGGCATGAAATAACAAAGTCAAATTTCTTGAGTCATATTTGATGTTTCATTTTCAGAACAACTGAAAGTAACTATCATTTTATAGCACAATCAAGTGACTATATGTGTGGAAAATACACAATACTGAATCTTTAATGAGTAAAACAAAAGTCTTATCAATCCACTAACAATTAAATGATAAGCGTCCACTTTCTTGAAAACCTGAGTTTTCTCTTGTACCAAGAGGACCAACCATCTTTGCATAACATGAATAGCTAAACTTTTCATAATATCCCGAATAAAAGATAAATAAACATTTCAATTTTAACATTATTTGGTGTAAGATGTAAGAAAGGGTGACTGAGTAAACCATTTATTTATTTTTTGTTACTGTTCTGGAATGGCCCCGCCATCTTTATTTTTGTCTCTGGCTCTGCTTATGGATGCCCAGCAGCACCCTCTGCTGGATGGCGACCACAGCACAACCTCTAACAGAAGGTCTGGACGTTATTAGTTCATCATTTAGCAGCAGTTTCAATTGATTACCTTCTGGTAATCAATTGAAACTGAATACTATTTTTCTTATTGAAAAATAGTATTTCTTCTGCCAAAGAATATTCTTTGTAATGAGTGGTAAAAATCCCTGACATAAATGTACACATAAACAAAATAATCACTATTAAATCTATTTAGTTTATTGATGTAGAGCCATTTCATAGCAAATGTCGCCTTGAGGCACTTTACAAAAAAATATTTCAATTGAATCATACATTCTGATTGATCCTAGTTAGATAATATGAAGGTATAAATAATCACACAATTATTTCACAATAATTACTATATCTGCTGTATAGCAAACCTGCTGAGTCATTGTTTTCTATTGACAAGTCCATTTCATAATAGATCTACATGATCTTTCAAGAAACATAAGCATGTAGTGGTTGAAGATACAGTGATAAAGTTTAGAGTTTGATGAAGATTTGGATATGCAATTATTGATCACTTATTGGAAACAGAAGAGTCTTACATGAAGACTTTATGTTGTCGAATGACATATTTAGATGATTTACTTGAAAGTGAATGAAGGCTTTTTTTTGGTTTTCTTTATTAATGAAGAGTGCAAAAATTTCCAACATCAGGATTTTTTTTTACAGTAGAAATATATTTGAAATTCAGCAGATGCTGAGATGTGAGTTTCACTATTTCAGTAGTCTAACCCAGACTTTTAGCAGTGTGTTGTATACCTCCAGATATAATAAAAACTAAAACTAAAAGTGTTTTTGCTGCTTTTTTTCCTCACTAGTTCTTTCTGACTCTCAACAAAACTTACAGCTGAGTGTTAATCCATCCATTTAATGTAACAAAAACAAAAAAACAAGAACATGGAATAAAACATATGAATTAACACTGGCTATTAACTGAGCAGTAAAGTCCTGGTGAAATCCAGATTTTAATCTGGAGAAACTTCAATATGGCCTCTTCTACTACGGAAATGAGTGAATCACTTGCTGTTGTGATTCATTAGTAGCTCTACGTCTTAGTTAATAAGGTTAGCAGACTTAGCTCCAAGTCCTTAGAAGGACATCCAGAAAATCAGCAGTGGGACGCAAGACTCCATTATTTTCAGTAATATCTGTTTACATGGAAAAGCAAAAACTATTCTAAGACAGAACAATCACTGATAACTAATTCATCACAAGCTAACAGATGCTTAAATTTATCAGCTGAAAGTAAATCCAGATCTGACTACATCCATAAATATCTTCTGTGAAGTCACTAAATCTTTGTCTTTATTCCTTTCAGTTCAACTAGTCAGTATTCTTGAAGATATAAATGGAAATAACATTATTGCCATATTCTGGGTGATGAAATTTGTACTTCAATAAGCTGTGAACACAATTTTAAAAAGTTGAAGAAATTGAAATAATAATAATAATAAAAACAACACAAAAAACTTAAATCCCATTGAATTTAAAAGCCTGACAGCCTGGGGATAAAAACGGTTAGTTACGACAGAGTAATGAAGCTATTGTAGACAGAAAAATAGGAGGAGTTTATTTTTGTCAGAAAAAAAACTGAGAAATTGTGAGAGTAACCTCAGAAATTTTCTTGTAAAATCATGAAAAAATCTAAAATTGTCGACTTATGGAAATCTTCTGCGTTTCAAAAGTTAAAAACATTCAACTTTTCAAACTCGTAAATTTACACGTTTTTCTAGAAATTTTATTTAGTTTTTTTCTCCAACAAATGTCCTCCTTTTTTCCCATCTACAATGTCCGTCATAGGCTGTCGTATTCATTCTTGTGTAAGTATAATTCTAAGCTGGTTAAATGTAGATTATAACAGGATACTGTAACTCTGGTTTGGTAGATTCTGGTTGATGGTTAGAGGATTCTGCCTCTCCTCAGACAGGATATACAGGCCTGTTATGTAGATATCATAAATTCTTCTTCTTTAACCTTTTCATCAGCAGTGGTGACCGGCAGAGCATCACTGCTGGAACACTTTATTCTGATCTTGTTCATCTTCCAAACTCTTGACTCAAAATTTTCTGTGTCCTTAAATCAGGGTGAAAAACCACACAAATGTTAAGCAAACTACTCTCCACGCCTGCCCGTGTTTGGTGAGGTTTAATGTCGCGCTGCCCCATGCCTCAGATCCCACCCCTGTCCAGCTGCTAGTAGAGCTCTGAGTTTCCCAAGGCCCCCCAGAGCCCCCGACCCGGGACAGCCTCCCAGTGCTGCACTCCCCCAGGCCCTGACTGCCTGCCCGCCTGCTCCTCTTGGCAACCGAACGGCCAGGGGAGGATCAGGATGACCGGGCGGCCGAGATAAGGACCACATGAAGTTTCCCGCATTACCTCACCCGATTAGGAAAGGAGCAGAGAGAGACGCAGAGCGAGGGAGAGAGGGGTCATGCTGGGAGGAACTGAGCGGTCGGTCGGGGAAGAGCCCAGAGCCTGCAGTGTTCGCCAGCGGGCTGATGGGTCTGGGTGGATGCGGGGCTTCCTCCTGAGGAGCTTCGGATTAACCAGACAGAACCGAGCCGGACCAGGAAGAGACGTGATGAGTACTTTCAGCTGTTAGAATCAGTAGCTTCTTTTGAGAACCAGATCAGGCTTTAAAGATGAGAAGATGAAAAGATGACCTGGGGTCAGGTGCTTTGTTGTGCTTTCACTGAATTACCTACTAGACAGTATGAACTTTCCTCACAGCAGCCTGCTGCGGTCTAAAGCAAACCTCAATCCGGCCAATGAAAACACACCGAGCCACGGTGATTTAAGTCCTCCCAACGTGCTGGGAGTCTGCTGCGGCTCTCCAGCAGAACCCATGGCGGTCAACCCTCTGGAAGGGCTCATGTCGGTGACCGTGAACCAGCAGCTGGTGCATCAGAGCCCCGCTGCAGCAGCCGACCACCCAGCAGCCCCACAGGGACACAGGGAGAGCGCCACCAGCAGCCGCCAGGAGCCCAGGAAGTGGGTCAGTTCCTTTTCTCTAGTTTAACTAAAACATCTCCCTGGTTTGAGAAACTATGGCAGAACAACAGAGCAGAATTTAATAAGTTATGATTGAATCGTCAGAACTATCCTATTAGTATTAGTTGAAAGATATTGGATATGCTGATAATGTGGACTATTTGGTCATAGATTCAAACTATTTATATATTTATATACAGTTCTGGAAAAAATAAATAGACCAGTTGAATGTATTAGTTTCTCTGATTTTGATTTTTATACTTATATGTCTGAGTAAAATGAACAATTTTCTTTTATTCTATGAACTACTGACATTCCAAGAACATTTTGTATTCATTTATTTGCAGAAAATGTGAAATGGTCAAAATAACAATTATTTGTACTTTCAGATCTCAAATAATGCAAAGAAAATAAATTGATATTCATTTAGAAACAACAAAACTAATGTTTGAACTCAGTAAGAGTTCAGAAATCAATATTTGGTGGAAGAACCAGCAGGTTTTCAGTGGGGCTCAGTACAGTGGGCTCTTCATTTTTTACAGAGCTATATATTTATGTGTGTGTGTTATTAAATATATATATATATATATGTTATTAAATCTACACTGCAAAAATGTAAAAAAAAATTGTTCAAATAATTTTTTATCTAGTTCACAGTATCTTTAGATTTATTTATTTATTTTCAACAAGATATAGGAGTTGGTTTAAAGTCAATATAGATAAAAACTGGCACTGGCATATTATTTCTCTGACATCACTGGAAATATGCCTTGTTATAATGAAACATTCTGATTTAAAAAGAGGCACTTTTTAAATCAGTATCTAGATATTATTCACTTCAAATAAGCTACGATATTTTATTTTTTAAAATTTATTTCAGATTTTTAAGGTACGATATTTTGCTGAAAAGTTATTTGTAAATTATTTTTGCGTTATTTCCAGTGCATTAAGATATTTGCAGTAGAAAAACAAATACTTCGGAAGATCGGATGTTTTTGCAGCGTTTTTACTTTTTTCCTTTGCTTTGTTTTATTTCAATTATAAGAGTTTCCAATATGTTTCTACTTTCACTTTGCGACTGAATGAATCAAAATTCATAAATCAAATGCTTCTTTTGCTTAATAATCATAATAATAATAATAAATAAAACAATAATAACTATTATTATGCAAACTACACTTAAGAAAACAAGAAATAAAGGATCTTTGGTTTTCATTTAGGAGTATTTTTTAAGCAAATTGTTTATGAAAACAAAAATTAAGGAAAAATTATATATTTTGTTTATTCAAGGTCATCATGTAGCTACTGGGATTGTTCTTAAGCATTAAGATTTGATTAAGAGAATTGTTTGTTTTTTTTCTCCAGAGAAGTGTAATGTATTTATAAGCCTGCTTATTGCAGCACCAATAAATAAACTGTTTCCTCTGGAAATACGTGTTATGTTAGTGACATCATCCAGATATAGTTTATATGTAAATCTGATTGATGATTTCATTTAAAAACTGTTATTATTTCAATGCTCACTCAGATGTTTTGTGTGGAAAATTATTAATAATAAAAGCCACATTGGAAATAAATGTTCAAGTTCGATTTTCTCTATTTTCATCTCGTGCAAATCTGACAGGAAAATACTGAACCCTGTAAAAACAAACAAATAAACCTCCTGTCTGTGGCAGCTGCTGTTTCTGTTTGTGTCAGCCCACCTATCTGAATCCCAACACACAGAGCCCACCACTTCTCTTCTCTTTTCCAGTTTGGTCCGATCAGAGTGAGAGCCGGTAATCTGAGCGGCCCTAAAGCTGACAAAACAAACAGAGCCCCGTGATTTACTGACACCCTTCTAAATGGAACTGGACATCAGATAAAGTGCCGGTTGTTTAATGTGGGCTGTGTGTTTCAGGAGCAGACCGTGTGTGGGTCCAGGTTCAGCTCGGCTCCTGCCTGTGGCCCCGTGGTCCAGAGCAGGCCCCCACGCGCCCAGCACTCTCCAGAAAACGCAGCGCGAGAGAGGAGCCGCGTGCGCAACCTGCGGCAGGCCTTCCACAGCCTGCAGGTACACACACACACACACACACACACACACACACACACACACACACACACACACACACCCCCACACCACACACACACACACACACACACACACAGACACACACGCACGCAGACACACACCGACACACACACAGGTGTCACAAGGCTATTTTTATAATCCCTATTTTTCTGCTCTGTTATTTTCACCTCCTTTCACTCAGAGCAGATTTTTCTCTCACCGCTTTTTATTCAAATATAAAAACTAAATATTTTCTCCCAGGCAGCTCTGCCTTCAGTCCCACCCGACACCAAGCTGTCCAAGCTGGATGTCCTGGTCCTGGCTACTAACTACATAGCATACCTGACTGAGACGTTGGACCAGGACGGGGCGGTGGCAGAGCACGCTGCCCCCTCCAGGCCGGGCGGATACCTGCATCCTGTCAAAGTAAGGAGCTAACAGCTGACAGTGAGTCGCCTGCTTGATAAATACTTCCATCACTGCTGGATGACATGTTTGCATAAAGTCAGATGTTTTGCTGTTTCTTTCCTCCTGGTTATATTTTTAATTTTTATCACATTATCTCTTTATTGCCTGAACCAGGAAAGGGTCCATTTTGTCTTTACTATAATAAAGTCAAACAAGCCACAGAAATGTCCCACTTTTTTGTTGAGTAAAACTGCTCCAACACTGTGATACAACCAGTCCCATCTCTCTAAGCTTTCTTAAGATATCCGTCACGTCAGATTGGTGGAGGTTCTATCATGACTTCCTGGATGAGGCCACGCCCCCATCACCCCCAGACTAATTAAAACACTAGAACAGAGTACAGCTCAGTCCTGCTACATAAAACACACAATGAAGCTTGCCTATTCCCAGCAGCCTTGTCAAAACATAAAGATGCTAATGCTAACACATTGGGATGCTAATAGCTGCTTCTGTTCTTTTCAAATATTAAAGCTCTAGAAAACATGTTCAAGTAGCAGCTAACAGATAAGTTAGATCTCTTTTTATTCTGGTGGTTGTACATCCCTTTGTAATGCCGCCCTGGGCAACTGCCCACATGATCTAGTCCTTAAACTGCCATAGATGTTTTCATATTACATCTGTGGTTCTCAGTTAAGAAAAGCTTTGGGCAACTTTTCATATTTATTTCAGAAAATCTTACAGAAACTTAGTTTTATTCTAGTTTTCTCAGTGATCTTTATTTATTCCAGTTATCTTAACGGATAGTTAGTGATCAGGTGAACTTTTGAGAATTAAACCTACACCCACTGACAAAAAACATCCAGAAGGAAAAGAAGTGATTCTTATGCTAACCTGAGATGAGGATGTGAAGGTTTCAGTGGTGAGTTTATGATGGTTTAGTGTTTTTCTGGTCCAGAATTATTCACAACCTTGTTACATTTATTCTTAAATTAATCTTTTCATTCAACCTGAATATAGAGACGACAAAGAAATTATATTTTTAATGAATAGTATGTTATTTTCATCTTTTTGGAAAGATGCCCGTCTCGTTCTTTAACATAAATAAATTTCTTTGTTAAAAGAAAATAATTTAGGATCTAACTGTGCCATGTAATGAACCTTTTTGGACATTTTGGAAACCTCTGCTTTCCGTTTTGACAGTTGGATGCGTCACATGACTCATGACTGCGTTTTCCACATACATACTGTATATTGATATGCACATAACTGGACTGAATGTGTTCCAAACAGCATCCATTTCGGAGATTATTTTAATATTCATTTGTTTAAACATGCATGTATGTTGTATTCGGGCTGTAATGACCAACGCCGACGTTTTGTCCCATTCTGTCCTCAGAAGTGGCCCATGCGTTCCCTGCTCTACTGTGGCACTGTTGGAGATCTGCTGTCAGCCAATCAGAGGCCTCGGCACGGCCACGACCCGGCCCAACCTCTGACCCCCGACGAACAGCGGTAACCCGATTCCAGGCTATTTCATCAATCTAGTCTTCAGTCGCCCTGATGAGATCAGGAGGAAAAAACTCAGTTGTTTAATAACAGAAAAAAAATCAGCTTTTTAATAATCATTTATTCAACTTTTCTCAGTCCTTGCACTAGACCTGGATTTACGTCCTCCATCGTTCTGACTGCCTGTGTGCAGATTTGATCTGTTTCCACATGTATTTAAACCTACTGATCATTTTCACATTTTGTCACATAAACACAAAGTTCAATGTATTTTATTAGGACATGATGTGATTTTATGTATGATGTATGTTTCTTATTTTTTATTGTAAAAAATTCAATAAAAAATGAAAACCACACAGCAAAATCTTAAAATCTTACCAAGTATTTATGTCTAGTTTTGTAGTCCAAATATCTTAGTTCATTTAAATAAGAATAAACTAATTCACAAGTAACTTTTCACCAAGATATAGGGGCTTGTTTTCAGCAAATCATTTCCTAATTTTGATTTTTAATAAAGTTTATAATTTCACCTGGGAGATTAGTTCACCTTTGACTTTATGGTGTATTTTGTTGACTGCATAGTGTTTTTATGACTTTGTATTTTTGTGTTTTTATGACGTAAAGAACTTTGAATTGTCTTATTGCTGAAATGTGCTGTACTAATAAACTAGACTGATAACATGGGGAAAATATCTGGTGTAAAGTGTAAAAGTGATTTGCCAGTGCAAACTAGTATTTTATATTTATGTTCGATGATTATTGACTCAAAACGAGCTCCTGTCCCTTGTCGAAAAGTTTATCGTAATTTTTCTCTGAACTGAAGTGCAGTAAGATATCTGTATCAGAGACAAGACAAAAAAAAAGAACTTGGTAAGGTTTGTAGTTTTTACAAAGTGTTTTCATTTCTATTCATCTTATCACAGAAAATCCTGATAAAATACAGCAAAGTTTTTGGATGTAATGTCACAATGTGAAAAGATTAACGGGGGCATCCAGATTTTGCAGAGCAGTGTATGTAGATGTAAACGCACGCGCGCACACACACACACACACACACACACACACACACACACACACACACACACACACACACACACACACACACACACACCATAACATGATTTAAATTTACACTTGTTTGAAAGTTTTCTTCTATTCAAGGTACAAGCACCAGACTGTCAGGAAGGGGTTTGATATGAGGAAATAAAAAGTCTGAATCTCTTGACTAATTACTCCACAAATCACAACATGAAGGAACAGTGTGTAACCAATTATCCTGATTTAAGGTCTTTTCAGATTCTTTCTGTAAGCACTTGGACATCTGTGTGCTTTTTTTTAATGAAATAAAATGTATTTCATTGCCAAGCTTTGCGTCTTTTTTTTTTCTTCTTTTTTTTAATAGGGGTTTGTGTGGGAGTGGCAGGATGGACAGGCCGGCGAGCAGAGAGGGAGGGATTGTTGTGGGAACGCAGCAGCTGTCAGACCACTTAGTTCTCATTACAGCTCCGCCGCAGAATGTAACCTCTCAGCTCCACAAAAACGCTGGCAGGCGAGTCGCGCCGTGATTGCGGGTCACATTTGGGGGGAAACATCCCCTTCGGCGGAAACGCTGGGAGAAAGCGAGGAACACTCTCTGATGGCTGAGCTTCCACTTCAAGGTCAGAAAGGTCAAGGAAGCCTGATCTGGACCTGTCACCTGATGATAATTCCTAGTGATTAGCCTGCAGCAGAAAGTATTCCTACCCCCTGAACCCTTTACACATTAATCACATCACAACCGCAAGCGCCGATGTGTTTATGGGGATCACATGTGACGAACCAACACATGCATCAACCACTGAGCACATCGGCTCTTAAGGTTGAGCGGCATGAAAACATGTCATAGAACTGCATGTCATAGAAGTCACAGCTGCTGAGTTGCTCCCACTGAGTTCTTCAGGCAGTTAGAGCCAGAAAATCAATGCAGAGAATGAAAGATAATTAGATTATCGATCAGCTCATCAACCAGCCTGCTGTCTGAATACAATACAATACATTGACCCCAATGTGGGAAAAATCACTTGTCACAGCAGCTCAGTAACAAATACATGCAAGTGAATATAAAAATATCTAAAACAAAATGTGTACTGATGAATTACTTACAAATAAAAATATCAAACTGAATTAAATACAGGACTTTTTCAAATTTACAAGACGAGGTTACATGAGAAAATGGGAGTTGTTATTGTTATTAGCATCCATAATGCTATTAATGACTATTAATGCTGTAGAATTGTATGTGAGCGTAGAACTACAAACATAGAGCGAGTTCTGAAGAATAAATGTGGTGGAGAAACGATGTCATCTGTTTCCATGCAGAACAAATGAAAGCAGAGAAACTCTGTACAGGACAGTGGCCCCAATGAACAGGAGCTTCTTAAAGAGACAGAGGCTCATTTCAATGTGTCAAGTTAAGTCAAATTTCTTTTAAGTCATGTTTGACGTATGCAGATTTTTTATATAAACTGAAAGTAATAGTTACTCAGTTGTGCTAAAAAATGACATTAAGTGCCTGTAAAATAAACAATACCTTCTTATTAACAGACATGTTAAAGCAATACAGAATATGAACAACAGTTGCACATTTTGCTCCTCAGCTTGTCTGGTTATGTCATAAAAACAAGAAAATGACCAAAATGAAGACAACATCACTCACACATTGCAAACTAGCACTGGCTGACTCACCGAAGCATCTGGCTTAATTACAAATTTGATTTAGTATTCGCTTATCTAATATCCAAACGAAGTCTTTAATCTGGATATATATGAAGTGAAATAGCAGTCGGGTTGTGGCGTTGGTGTGTTTGTGGGGTGAATCAGTGAAGAGTGCTGCAGCAGGGCTGAAGTCATCGCTCTCTCTGAGCAGAATGGGCTCAGCTCCACCAGCAACAGCCCAGCGTTCAAGGCTAGCTCTATAAATCTGCTCCATGTTGGGAGAGGAGAGAGCAGGGGGTCCTCTGGTTCCCATAGTGTGTACTGGTGACTAATCTGGAGTTGCTGAAGTAAAGCAGAGGTTACGGAAAAACAAACCGGACAAATAATCGAAGCAGCAATGAAAAGAAAAGAATGCGTTTTTCAACGCAATCAGCGTTGAAAAACGCAGAATGCTCCTTTCATTTGGCTCTGATAATATCAGCATTGATGCATGGCTCTTATTAAATACATATATTCACACAATCTACTTGTTAAACTGTCTCTGTGTCTGACAGCATAAGGCATATAATCTGTGTAAAAACCTGATCTCTGTCTTCTCACTGTGGCTTTATTGCCATCTGCAAAAATACAGTCAGAAGCAACCAATCAGAGCGAGGAGGGGCGTCTTAGTGCTGTCAGTCAACCCGTGTATGTGGCGCTCAGACCCTCTCCCTTGCTCCCTGCTTCACTACAGCTACTGTCACAATATGGTGACATTCAACAAATATGTAAAACAACACATATTGTTGTTAAAGTTACATTCTGCGTATTCGGTATTATTCTTTAGCCTGAACTGATCTGTGGGATGAAAAAAACCAACAAGCTGATGAACCTCTGAAATGAAGATGATGCTGGAGGTTTTGCTCCTGGTATTTTGTGATATACTCCTCACACACACACACACACACACCCACACACACACACCCACACACACAAGCACACGCATACAAGTCAATGAAAGCTAAAACTTGTGTGTGTGTGTGTGTGTGTGTGTGTGTGTGTTTGTGTGTGTGCTGTTGCCCATGTCCATGTACAGACAGCTATTTATGCCACTGGAACTGCTTCAACAAAGTGAGCGTCCAAGCATTTGCCCCCTCATGTTGGGAGATAATCAGCATATTTGTGCTATCTGCAGCTCATTATGGCCGGTACACACCGATTACAGGCTGGATTTATGGAGCTGCGAGGCCGCACTCCCACCTCCGGGTTGGCCAGACCTCTGCTGGAACGGGATGGAAGTCCAGGGAGACGCGGGCGCCGAGTGGAAGGAGGAGGAGATGAGCAGGCAAGATGGAGGAGAAACACAACATGGAGAGCAAACAACCAAAACATCCAAGAGAAGAAGGAAGTGGAGCACAGAAAAGGGCGGGGGCGTTTTTATACTGTAGTTTAGTTTCCTCCGTTTATCATGAAGTCTTACTCAGATTTCCGATAAAATCTTGAGGACACTTCTGTTGAAAATGCAGTGAGTCAGAAAAACAGCAAAGACTGGAAGCACTGCTGATTTCTAGCTTTTATTTCCAAATAGATTTGCAGAGACTGGATTCTATTCCAATGTGAAACACGAGGATTGAGTGAAGCACGGCAGTGGAGGGATCATGCTGGGGGTGAGCTACTCATTCTGGGGGATCAGGAACATTTATTGCATATGACATAAACCATCTAGTTTTTTCTCAGTTATGCTCACCTCTAGTAAACATGCTTTTAACATGAATTATTACTACTTTATATTTCTTGACTAAAGCACTAATAAAATAATAAACAGCTGGTAGAGCAACTAGTTGCTGGAACATGTTGCTTTCTGTAATTATCATTAATTGCTGATCATGTAAATGTGAAAAAGTCTTTAAAAATCTGTAAACGATAATTACATAATATTGAATGATGGAATGGGTGAGTTTATAGTCCAAGTAAAGGTTGTTCCTGCTTTTTTATTTGTCTTTGAAATTGTTGAAATGTATTTTGATATTTTAATGTTTTTTTTAATTATTATTTCTTCTGGATCATTTGTAAAAATATTAGAATTATTGAGACAGTTGATTTGAAGTTTTGGGTTTGTGTGATTTTGTTGTCTTCTTTTTGTAATGCTTGTCAAAGCATAATTCAAATTCAACACAAAAACACTTTATTGATCCCAGAGGGAAATTAAATGCTGTTGTAACTCGTATCATTTCAAAATTCTTCAGTTATTCTTGATGCTGACGGCTGTGGACAGGACAGATCTCCTGAAGCAGTCTGTGTTGCAGCGGTTTTGACTCAGTGACTCACAGGAGAGTTGAACTTTCAAACCGTTTCCAGTTTAAAAACAAAACAAATAAATAAAAATCCAGATGCTGATTGGTCATTACTTTCTTCTAACATAATTCTTCAGATGAACTATGTCAGAAGAAACATCATTTTTAGAGTCAGTGACACATTTTACCTCCTTCAGGTCAGATGATGTCACACTGACTGCTGTCTGTTAGCGCTTCACCACAAGAGGGCAGAAAACCTTCTGCTTTCTATCACAGTAGCAGCATGTGTTGTTCACGAACACAAACACGACATGGAATCAGTTTAAATCTGGTCCAGGTTAGAATTTGAGCATGTTGGAAGTTTTGACGGCCGTTCACGCTGAGCCAGCAGAACCAGGTTCTGGTTCTGGTTCTGCTGGAGGTTTCATCCTGTTAACTTGGAGGTTTTTCTCTCCACTATTGCTACAAACATGCTCAGTCTGAGGGATTGATGCAACCAGCTGGGACTCCTTAGAAAACTTTGTGAATTGGAGAAAAAAAACTTTGACAAGTTGACAGTAATGTTGCAGAACAAATATTGAATTAAAATGTAACTGAATGTGATCAGAGTAAATTGGCAAGAAGAATATGGAATTGAATAGATTGAAAAGAGGGATTTACCCAACTGTTGTGGAAAACGTTGCAGAACTTAAAGAAGTCCTCTGTCTCCTCTATGACAGTTTGTCCCTGCTGTGTGTCTCCTGTCTTCACCACATCCAGGATGTCTGAACCAATTTGGTGTAAACTTTAACTAGGCCACCTCGAAAGTTTCCACAAGTGGTGTGGCTTCCTGCAGTGAAGTGAGCTTGAGGTTCTAATGTGAACTAATGACCAGAGATTATTTTACCATAATAAATTGCAATCATTTGAAACAACATTGTATTTACTCCCTTTAAACTCTGTTTGACATCAATATATTTAATGATCGGAAACAAGTGTAACAAAAAGGAACTAATACTTTCTCATGTCATTTGTCCCTTCATATTTCTGCACGTTTTGTTGAAGGAGATTTAAACTGATTTTATGTCCATGTAAAAACATAAAAACTAACACCTTGCCCCCATAATCTGCGGTTACAACAGAGATGTTAATAATTATCCAGTTTACTCTGCCGAGTCATTCTCTCTTCAATAAACATTGATTCACTTTGGACTCTGTTTCTGGAACACAACGAAGGTTGCTCAACTTTACAGAGCAATAGCGTTGTTATTGTTGCTCTATGACACCCAGAGTCTGAATATGGAGCTACTGTAACAATTATTTACAGTCTGTAGGTCATGTCTTGAACCTGGGAAAGATTTAAAGAAGCTTCACAAAGCCTCGTTCCAACAGAACCTTTAATTACAATAAAAGTTTATGACCAGGATTCCCACTAGATGGCACCAAAACACACAGATGACAGGTTGGTTTTTATTTTCCACATTAAACAGCAAGTCATCGTTTCAATGTCGTCTCACTTTAATTAGAAATCTGCTGAACTGCACATCTAAACACAGTGAAACAGAACAGGAACACTTTCATTCAGCCAGGAAGTTACATCACAACGCATCACTTCCAAAGTGTCTGATTGGACAAGATGGAGTTCAAAGAAACATTCTGATGATGGAGGAAGGACCTCTTTGTTTTTGGAATGCATAACAAGAATTCTTGTGGATGAGATGATAAAAACATAAATATTGTTCCAAACAATATTTATTGTGTAGAGAAATTACTAAGTGTTTCACTGTGAGAAGGCCACAAAGCTACAGAATCTGTAATTATTAATAACAGTAGAAAATAACCTGGAGGAGGTTCTGGTTCTACAAGCGTCTTAGTGTTCACAACTCACATCTAACGTCAACATTAACAGGATGATGGCACGCTAGCTGTAAAAGAGGCTACTTCACCCTGGAAAGAGAGCAACAGACACACACACTTCAAGTAATTTCAGGCATGGAGGATTCAAAAACGTAAACGATCAAAAATATACACGTCATTAAAAACTGGGAACCATGAAAAGGCTGAAACACGTCAGCAGAATTTCAAAATGTAGCGCAGAAAGATGAGCTGGTGGGCGGCTACGTTCTAATTCTGCTCCACTTTCACAAAAACAACTTTTCATGGGCTTTTTTTTTTTTTGCATATAGAACGGCACATTTCATCTCAGGAAATGCACGCAGGCTTCAGGTGAAAATTACAAACATAGAAAAATAAGAGGTAAAATATGTTCTATTGTTAAAAAAAAAGAATCAGAAAGCAAGTCTGGTTCTATATGCATCGGTCACTGTGCTAACATCGGTCAGGTGTTAGGACAGTGCCAACATGCTGCTTTGCATGAACCATAAGCTCATGCAAACAGCTCTCTGATTGGCTGCTACCGCTGACATCACCAAGAAACTGGTAAAAAAAACTAAATCAAAAACACATGCTATGACATCAGAGTTAAAGCTGCAGTAACTTTTATAAACATTGTTTTACATATTTATACTGTACTGTCACAGCATAGTGACAGTTTTAATAAGTGTGTAAACAAATTTTTATAAAAGTTAGCATGTGTAGCTTTACATTGTGCTTACAGACTGTAGAGCAGGGGTGGGCACTCCTGGTCCTCGAGGGCCGGTGTCCTGCAACTCTTGGTTGTCTCCCTGATCCAACACACCTGAATCCAACAGCTGAATTACCTCCTAAATACAATCAAGTTCTCCAGAGACCTGCTAATGACCTCATTATTTGACTCAGGTGTGTTGAAGTAGAGATACATCTAAAAGTTGCAGGAGGACCTGGAGTGCTCGAGGACCTGCTGTAGAGGGTAAACGGGCTTTGTGTAGACCCTTTGGAAAACATTCAGATGATGCAGAGCAATGACAGAAACAAACATGGAGGCCGAGTCCCAAAGCAACAATGGACACAGAACAACACGACATGTGGTCAAGAATTCTGATTCCAAAAAGTGACAAATATTCACATTTACGCAGCTTTCTCATTTACATTTAGAAGAAATACATAGAGAAAGGGCACTTAACAGAAGATTAAGATTTTAGAGATGTTTCTTGATTTCCCTCTTGGTCAGATTGCTGTGAAGATGCAGTCAGGTTCAGAGCAGAGGAAAAACACCTTCATGTGAGAGAGGCGTTGATCTCATCTCATACTAATACCGAGTGTTGGTTACTGAGGAACATTGTGGCCTACATGTCCAGGAAGCTGGACTCTTCAGGCCTCTGTCCACTCGAGTCACTGGAGCAAACATTCTGTGGTCTAACACAAGCATCACTGCAGGTTAGGATCCAGATCTCTGGTTATAGTTAAGAGAAAACTGACTCACTAACACTCTGTCATCTTTAGATGTTTCTATCCTTTTAGAAGCTGCTTAATATTGATAAAGTGGAATGTTTAACACATTAGAAATATAAATATGCAGTTATTTTTAAAATCTTAGAAATAAGATTCACGCCCTGATGGTGAATTTCTGCTGTAGAAGTAAAGTGGTGTCCATGCTGCCTTACTTACTACATACTGACAAAACGTTTCCAGTCGATGTTTCACACAGGGAGATCATTAGTGGTGCACCGCCTCCAACTTCAACTTCCTCCAGGACCATCTGACCTGATCTTTTTTTTTTTAATCTTTTATTAGTTCTTTTAGTTATTCTTACTTTGACTATTTTTGGTGTCTGTTTAATGACCAAATAGTGACAGGATGTGGAACACAGGAAGTGTTTTAAGCAGAATTAGAGCTCAGTGTCATGATGTCACTGAGCTGTTCTTTTAGACAAGCTTGTATTGCATTTCAGTAGCTCTAAAACTTATTGGTTTTGTTGAGTGGAGTGTTTTGCGTGAACATTGTCATTGTGCTTCATGTTTAGTATTCTTTGGTTCCTTTGGGACCAGCTGAGACGTCCCTCTGCTCTCTTCAGCACAGCGTCCTTCACATGGACCCATATTCGGAGGCAGCTAAACGGGTCAGAGGAGTTGGAAACCGAGCCGCCATGTTGTTTCGCTTCAGTCTCTGATTTTCTTTAATTATAATCTTCATATACTCTGGAATTTGTGGCTCTATTATTGCTATAAAAATAAAGGATTTCAACGGTGCAACGATTCCCTACCTGATTCTTTTATTTCTGCCGAAGCGCGGAATGGATCGGGTCACACTGGAACACCAGTCGGTGTGTTGGTGTTCATGCTGCATGTTAGCAGCCTGAGTGAAGCAGCTGTAGCCCCGCCCTCTCCGACAGGCCACACCCTCTGTAATCAGTTTGTCTAACATCAGTGTTTCTCCAGGGTGACGGGATCCACCAGCAGCTCAGGACAAAGTGTGTTTGTGCTTCTCGGATCATAAGGCTGTCTCCTGGACTGTGTGTGTGGTCAGTGTGTCCATGTCCACGTCCTCCGTCTGAGCTCTGTCGCTGTCCAGCTCCTTGTCCTCCCTGCAGCATGCCGCCCCGTTGCCGTCCTTCTTGGCCATCTGGTACGACTGGCTGCTGATTTCTTTGGGCTGCAGAACAGAGATGATGAAAGCGATGGGACCGTGGTGTGATGGGGTGAGGAGAGAAAATGGAGGGTGTGAGCTACCTTCAGGGTCAGAGGAGTGATGCAGCACATCTTCTCCTTGTAGCGCTCCGGCAGGAAGAACAGCAGCGTTCCAAGGACAGGGAACACCGTTCCCGGGGTCAGGTCCCTCTCCTTCATGGGTCCTGGCAGGAACAAGACAGTTAGAGACAAAACACAGAGGGACAGCAGGGACTGGAGCTGCTGCTGCCTTCAATAACCAGCAACACTGAAAAGTGTTCTGAGGAAAAACTATGGAAAAAACAGAACATTTTCCATATTATTTCATAAGAAACCTACACAAATGAGTACATTAATGTAAAGTGTTGAAAGAGTTTTCAACATTTTTCACTCCCTGAATCATTACTTTGTAACTATGATTAGAACTGGAAGTTCTTTTGGATTTAGAGGCAAGAAAAGCTTCTTCATTTGAAAGTGTTGCTTATGTAACAGAAACAACGATCAATAGGACAGTTTTAAACAGCCCACTGTTTAAAGCTGGAACCTTGATCAATACATCTGATGATGATTACTCTTAATTCATTTGAATAAAATGTTATGTTTTTCTGCTCGTTTCATAATGTATATATGTTTTTATGGAGTAAATTGCTCTGAACTGCCTGCTCCTGAAATATGTTCCTGATAAACTTGACTTGATTATTTTGTCATGCGTTTCAGTTAAAATGCAATTAATTAGTTGCAGACCCTGCAATTAACTTGATTAAATATCTTAATTGGGACCCAAATCTAACATTTTGTCAAATGTAACTTCTGATGCATTTAGTTGTCTTGTTTTTTTCATTTGAGGGATAAGAAGATTAAAAAGCGAGACGCCTTTATATCCATCTGTAAAATGTGACAGAATGTAAGGTGATACGAGTCGTTCTGCACGGTGCTGGAGCATCGGACATGTTTCATGTCTGTACCTGTTATGAGGCTGACGAGCAGACCCACCACCACCACAGTGGCTGAGTTGTGAGCACTGTACCACATGTAGGACAGCGAGTAGAGAGCTTCCACCCCTGTTGGTCTAAACACAGTAAATGACTGGTTACATTTACTAAAATCATTTTTAGTCTGTGTAAGAAATGCAAGCATAAGTCAGAGGTTTGAAGGGGGATTTTCCAGGCACAGTGTCATTTCATAGCTCAATCGTAACATGGGGCCTTGGACAGAAGCCCCCTTCATCCCCCAAACCCTTCCTACTGAGAACCTCAGCATCACTAACATGTTTACATATTGATAAGGTGAATCTGTGAGAGGAAGATCAGGTTTATTGGCCAAGTTTAAAATAATCACTGATTATTGGTTATTTGCTGTGATGTATTTGTAAACAAAAACAACTCAAACACAAAGATTACACCATATTGTAGCCATGGTAACAACAATCAAACTATCAAGATGATTCTTTAAACTTTTACAAACTTCCTAATTAAATCCTAAATGTAATTCTTTTTCTCAGCTGAATGCATTAAATAAAATGTAATAACATTGTCATTTTCTATAAATGATGCTACAGGTTTAGATCTTTGGTCTTTGTTCCAATTAAACCATTTCTAGGGGCCCCTGATTGGCCCCTACCAGCAGCTACTGAGTTTTCTTTGCCTTGATATCTCAGTCTTACAATTCTAGATTTCAGAGGTGCCAACATGAAAATATTATCTGGAGTTCACGAGCTTTTTGATCTAGAAATCAGTCTGCAGCCAAGTTGTTCTAGAGGTTAAACTGATATTATTAGAGCTTAATAATATCTATTTATAAGATATTATTAAAATGGCAAAATGGCAGCAGATGTGCTTATTCATAACTTCATAACCTTTGACCTTCTCTCCTCTGGTCAGTTTAACAGCAACAGTCTCAGATCAACACATCCCTCCAGGACTGTCAGCAGCAAAATCAGAACTTTATACCTGTTGGGAAAAATATACCACATGTGTTTTGCATGTCCCTGCATGATGGCCATGATATAGTCTGATCCAATGAAATCCTGGATTAATATGGGTTGTTGCTCTGTTGTTGTTTGGTGTTTTAAGATCTTGTTCAATGTGCACTTTTTAACTTTGAGCCCCTGCCCCTCCAAAGGGCTCTGCACGGCCGTGGCTTTATCCTTCAAGGTTCAACCAGCTGTTTTGCACAGCTGAATGGTTGCCATGGAGATTAAAGGATTTCTCAAACATGCATGAAACAATAAAGGCAACACTCCAGCTATGATTTTGATGACATAACATGATGTAAAGCTCAAAAAAGTTGACTCTACATAAAACTGGCCCTTTAACATTCATAGTTATTTTTTTATTCTAACTTCAGAGCAGTAAATCATGTGTACCATGCTGCAGCATGCAGGTGTGTTACCGTGGTTTGGCTGTGGGGCTGGTAACCAGGGAGCTCAGGACAGTAGAGGTCATGTTGTGGAGCAGTGGCAGAGCGGTGGCGTTGAGCTGGGGTCCAGGTGGGGGCCGAGACATTCGCATCACAAAGTTTCCAATCCCAACCCAGAAGGCCATGGCGAGTCCTGCTGCTAGCCCGACTACTGCTCCCTGGCAACAGGAGACGTCACAGTGGCTCAGATAGGACAGCAGCGTCTCTCTAGGACAGATTTTTAATTCCTCCTGAATTAAGACTTACAACAGAGTTGGCCCAAGGGAAGAAGATCCCCAGACAGAAGAGTCCCAGCAGGGGGCCACCCACCATCCCAAAGATACTGAAGGCTGCCTGGAACAACAGCAGTCAGACAGTTTTGCATGCTGAGGTTTACACACCAATACAGCTGGCAGGTCACATCTTCAGAATCAATGCCAAAGTAGAGCCATAAGCATGTTGAGTAACATGAAATTCCTCCTTGCAGCATGTTAAAATTAGTGTACAAGCCAAAAGTAGCTAATGCTAATGTTAGCCTAAATGCTACCAGTGGCATGTGGGGTATCATTAGCATGTTGTCCTACACTCACTTCCTCCATTCATGGCTAATAAACAAAATAGCTAAAAAGCTTTTTTGAAGGAAAGGCTACTGCTGATGTGGGCAGTGCACCACCCCCACTAGTGCTAATGTTAATGCACTGCCTTATGATTTTTACTTCTGCAAAAGTAAAAATCAGATGTTTATTTCGTGCCACTTTGTTGCTGGGAAACATGTTAATCTCTTAGCAGCAGATTGACAACAAATATTATTGTTAAAACAAACAAGATTTCTTTTGCTCTTTTGAAATACTAATCTTATACTACTTAACATAAATTGTGTGTTTGGTGAATTTGGCAGAAAAGTGAAAGTTTTTTTTTTTGTCATTGGTTGTAAATATATCATAAAACAGACATTCAACACAAAAGTAAAAATCTGATTTATACTTTGTGGCAGTTTGCTACCAGAAAAAAACCCCTCATCTGTTAACAATAAATAATGTTTCTTTTTTTTTTTTATAAAACATGTTATTCTGTCTTAAGTAATTGAAAAACATGCTGCAACATCATCCTCCAACCACTTCCTGTCATCAAGTTAATCAGTACTGATGCAGTTGAAAAATGTAGATTTGACTCCTTTCATCCTAAGTTGATTGGAATATTTAAAAGCACAGTGGCTTCAGACCAGCTAAAAGAACAGTAACACTACGCACTATGCTACAGCTTCTACTTCACTCTGTCCTGCTGGTGATGCTAAAGGTCGGAATAGTTACCTGCAGCACTGATCCCATTATGGAGGCAACGTAGGCCATAGCCAGACACACCAGTCCATAGGCTAAAGCTGATGGGAAGAGGACAAGCTCACCAATCAGAAATCACAAATTAAACAAATTGCCTGCATAACTGACAGTTAATCAATTAACATTAATATCTCAAAAGCCAATTGTCTTACCAAGTCCTTTGGACAGAAGAGTGGCTCTTGCTTCTGTCATATTTGGAAAATGAGGCTTTATCAGGTCCTCCATAGTTACTGTTGCCAAGGAGTTGAAAGCTGAGGAGATGGTGCTGGAGGGAGTTAAGAAAAACAGACTGAATGATGCAATGATTGAATACAGAAAAGTACAGTTATCAGGACTGACGGAGGACAAACCATGAGTAGATGTTCTATTCATGTCCAGTCGGGTTTAGTGCGATTTACCTGAGCGCTCCGCTGAAGAGACAGGCCACAAACAGGCCGGGGAGGCCGGGTAGATCCTTGAACACATCCATAACAAAGTACAGCACCATCTGCATAGAGGAGCTTAGCATCAGCAGGACCTTAGCACATATTGATCCATCATGAAGACCCCGGGCCTCACCTGGTCGTTGGCCTTCACGTAGCCCTTGTCCAGAGGGCTGTCCTCTCCATAGAGAGCAAACATGACCAGACCCATCAGGCAGCCCAAACTGAGGACAATCTGCTGGCATGGGAAAACCACATAGCAGGACCTGACAGGGCACAAAGGTTTTCATTCTTCACTACTATTTATTCACTTTGAACTCATGAAATCCCATTGAGCAGCCGTTTACGCTCACATGACAGCCTCCTTCTCTGTACGGGAGCTGAGGTACCTCTGGACCTGGGCCTGGTTGACACCGTACAGCGCCAGCATGAGGAACACTCCCCCCACTCCCAATGTCCAGAAGGTGTGGCGCTCCAGGGGGTCAGGGTTCAGGCTACAGAGACACAACGAGGCCTGTCACAAAACTGATTTTACTGGACAATAAATTGTCCTGGAAATGATTTCAATAAATGAGGATGCTGTTGTTTTGAAATCATTTGATGAGAATGGCTTAATAAAGCAAGTAAGACTAAAACTTTTATTTTTTACAGAACACTACACACTGGAAGACCTTTTATAATATTCAAAATAAAACAACCAAAACCATAACTAAAATGAATTATGAAGCCTTTAAACAAGATTTCCTTTTAAAAAAATACTATTCAATAGAATGGAAATCATTGAGCTCATTTTCATTATATTATGGGATTAACTAATTGCATTCTCCCGTTAAATCAGGAGTTCGTGGCGCTGACCCAGACTGCTGTATTACTCCTCCAGGTCAATCCAGTCAGTACTCACTCGAGTCCAGCAATGCGGCTGCCGTTCATCGCTTTCCTCCACACCTCGACTATCCCTCCAGCCTGATTGGCTCCCACCACAATGACAGCCAGCTGCCCCACAAACATCACCACGGTCTGGAACACGTCGGTCCAGATCACTGCCTTCAGCCCCCCCTACAGGAAAGAACCAGGTCAGAAGAAATGACTTTTTAATTTAAATTTTTTTTTTTAAATCTTCAACCATTGTTTTCTATTTTAACTGAACATTTAACAAATTAATAAACTTGGATTCATTTGTTACAAAGGACACAAGTGAGAAAAACTAAACTTACCAGAGCAGTGTAGAGAGTACACACTAACCCCATGGCCAACACTGCTCCCCACAGGTCAAAACCTGTCACTGCAAGTCATAAGAAGAGTTAAAACCCACACATACACTCAGAATAACTCAAAAATATGAACTTACAGACTTACAGTCAGCTGGTAGTGCAATGTGCTAAAACCTGGCTGAAGTTAATGTCTAATATATTCACCTGCATTAAGTGCCAGAGCAGGAGCATAAAGTACAACCCCCATGTAAATGACCTGCAGAGAGAAAGGACTGATCGATTCAAATTCACATACACAGAAGCAGTTCAAAGTTCATGGATTAGTTCCTAAAGACCCAGCACCTGTTAAAACCCCTGTGGGTGTGTAAGGTGGATTGAATTCTGATGGTGTGTCAACACGTCCCAGGCTCTGTTACTGCACTGGACTGTGAAAATATTCACTGCGTTTCTACAGATCAGGTCATGTAGACATGTAAAAGATCAATATAAGGTATATTTAGATCATTCCAGCAAGGAGTGAGAAAAAAAATTAGGTTTTTATTTATTAAACAAAAATCTAAAATGTGTGGTGTATCTTTGTATTTAGAACCCGCTAAGAAAGTATTTTGAAGTATGTCTGCACATATGTAGAATCTGAAATCCTTTTGAGGATTTGCTCTTATTTTTTAAAAGTTCAAAGGGCGAATAAACCACTTTTCACACAATTTAACATTACTAACAGTGGAGTGGGTCTGTTTATTTGCTTTGGGATACAACAAACTCATGTGGGGAGATGGTAAAGATGGTCTAAAATCATGAAGCGAGTAACATTTGCTGGAACAAGGTTTCAATCAGACAAACAGAATAAATGAATTTAATAGTTTTTCTACAAAGACATTGAAATATGAAGCAGGTCAAGGTACCATCTGAAAGATGAAGGTCACAGTCCCACATATGCGAACCATCTTGTTAAAACGCAGTTCCAGATACTGTTGGGGAGAACGTAAAAGAACAAACAACTAAATGAAAAAAATCCCTAACATCATCTCAGAGACAGTCTGTCAGTCAATGGAGTGGATCAGAACTGGCACAAGAAGTTCTGATCGAAGATACAAATGGTTTCTGTTGAAAGGACATTAATGCAGTCATTCCCCAGTAAATGACTGATCAGAGGAAGATAAATGTCCTTCATAAACACTGAAGATGGGAACATGTGTTCGTTCCGCTAGGTTAGGAAAGATAAGATGTTCAACTCTGAGATCATACTTGAGAAACATAAAAGGTGAAGCAGGTGTGAGCAAAGTGATCCGACAGAATATGAAGATGTTGCAAAATGCATAAAGAAACAAACCATGAAACTATGAATGATGCAGCAAACTAAACTAAAATTGCATGCTTGATAAAGGCTCAACACAGATGAGATTCTAACATGGGGTTTTTAATGACAAACAGGAGCAAAAACAGGGAGGAAGATATGCATCCACTACAGCCCCTCAGAGTACCAACACCCTGAGAGAGGCTTTAAATAAGCTCATATTTTAATGTTGGAGCATAATCTCACAGGTTATGTTCCCGCATAACCTGTGGATAAATTAATTTTTGGATAAAATTTATTTATCAAAAAATATTTCTGCACATTATCTGAACAGGTTGTCAATAACTGTAGGGGGCGTTGTACATGCAGGTACCTCGTAGGCGCTGGACAGCCGAAGCCTGTAGAAGATTGGGATGAAAACATGGGCTGGGATGAGCAGGCCCAAGAAGTAGGAGCAGCCCAGGAACCAGTACTGTGTCCCAAACGCGTACACCTCAGACGGAGCGCCTAGGATGGCCACAGCTGATTGGAAGGTGGCCAGCAGGGACAGGGACACGGGCAGGCAGCTCATAGAACGGTCGGCCATCAGAAACTCCTGAGACAAACATGAAGTTCGCGTCAGATGTTTAACACAGGGAAGCCAGACAGAAACGGAGGTCTGAGTTCACCTGGGTGGTGCGCTGGCGGCCCCCAGAGAAGGCGTAGAAGAGGCCGATGCCAGCAGAGGCCACCAGCAGCAGGACGAAGATGACGTAGTCCACCGGGGTGAAGTGCATCTGGACCACTTTCCCCATGGTGGTGCTGGATTCAGGGGGCTAGAAGCCTCAGCTGCTGGTTGTTATGCTGAGGAAAGCTGTCTACCCATGGTGACCTTCACTGTGGAACAAAGGAACGCCAGACATTATGCCAATGAATATGAGGATATCACAGGAACGCCTTAAATAAGGTTTACCACAAATTGAAAACAATCCAGTATGACGTATGAGCTGGTTTTTCATTCAGATTCCCAGTTTAGTTCTCTTTAACTGAACTCTGGTTTGTTTGCCTAGAAAGTCTCTGCTTCATTTTGGGAGTTGTGAATGAATAATCAAACTCTGACGCGCGCGCACGCACACACACACACACACACACACACACACACACACACACACACACACACACACACACACACACACACACACACACACACACACAAATCAAACTCTGATTCAACTACAAACCTAAGTCTTTGGTTGAAATGAACCAAACATGCACATATGAAGGCCATGCAGACCAGATGCCTCCAAAAGCATTAAGTGGACCACTGAAAATAAAAACGTAACAAATGTTGCCTTTTTGTTCCCAATTGAACCAAAACTACCGGATTAACAGGTGTGAAAACACCATTATGGTTCTAAAAGGAGTTTAATGACAGACATATTTTGCAACAGTTGTTTCTGGGACACTGGGTCAATCTTTAGCAGCCAGGAGGCTGCTCAATGTTTTTACAAGCCATTCAATATGGATGATAGCCTTTAGACATCACCTTCTTGTTTCTTTTGGGGAGTAGTGGTTGCAACAAAACCAAACAGAATCCAGTTATATGTTTAATTAAGAGATATAACTCTGTTTTCACAGAACTCACTTCAGGTCAACAACTGGGACGGATTGTTTTTCACTCCATGCTGAGCTCTGGATCAAAGAGCTCTTCCTTTCACAACAGGTTTTACTGGATACCTCAGATCAGGAACAACAGGGTAGTGGGAGAGGAGTCACATCTCATAGTGGTGAGAAAACTCACCCATTACTTCCTTCATCCTTGCAGATAAAGTGAAGCAGGTCTTCACCTTAACATTTTATTTGTCGTTTCGTTTATTTTGTCTTCCAGTTCCAGTGTTAATTTAAAGTTTACTAGTCATTAAGAATGTGTTCCTGCACTCTCATTCTATTTACATTATATTACTGGAAAGTGGTTTCAAAACAATAATATCATTTATTGCAATAATTTCTGGGACAAATGTATTGTGCAGAAAACTAGTTTTTATTGTGCCAGGTAACACACAGTACCTGACACAGATATCGAGTGTTACACAGGCCTTTTGGCCTGTCAGGGTCTGGTGTGAGCATCTCTTACAGTAACATGTAAAATGCAAGTTTATAGCAATTTGAATATATTAGACATACTAATATTGTCTGCGACAGACTGGCAATCTGTCCAGGGTGACACCGCCTCTTGCATGAAGTGTTGACTGGAGATCGGAACCAACACCGATCCGATGGAGGGATGGATCCTGATATTGCAATGATCATCCATTTGTGATTTTAAATTCTTATAGTAAATATTAATTCAGTCCAGATCTCAGAGTGATAAAGATAAAATGGTGAGACTTCATTCTGAGTTAAATGACTGAAGTCCATTGATTGAAACAAAAATGCGTGGAAATGCGTGGGAGCAGAGCACAGGAATGTGCTCTGCTCCCACATAAGGTCTCTGTTCCCATGGACAGACCGACAGCCTTTGAAGTGATCCTTAAAGGTTTTTCACATGCTGGTCATTGAGCAGAAATTTATAACAGTTCAATCTTGCAAATTTTAGATTCTGACATTATTTGTTTTTTTTTTCACTTCTGTTAAAAAACTGTCTGTAGAATTTTTTTTGAACAATTAAAAAAATATAAAAATAAAAATCAAGATTTCCAATTATGAAGGCAAGTCTGAGATTAAATCCTCATGAAAGCGCATCAAACACCGTTAATGCAGTCTGCTGACAGGCCTGACTCAATAATATTCTCTCCTAGCTTGATCAAGCACTGGACATGACTGCAGTAAATCCCACACTTACTTTGGCTAATTATCTCTGATTTACTTGACTGTAAGTATATTTCTCATCCCTACTGTTAGAAAATAGGATTTTCTTCTACCCTAAAGTTATTTTCAAAAGATCAATCTGAACCAGTAGAAGAGGCAATGACAAATCTGAAATGCAACTACTGATTTGTCAGGTTTCTCACAAAAAACAAAGCAGACAAATTTAGTTATAAAAGACAGGGAAAAAAATAAACAATCTTTTTCACGTCAAATAAATCACTTTTATGAAATAATAAATTAGGCCATTATTTGAAGATGAAGGTATTTTCAATGTATGAAATTAGGGCTGAAACAATAGGATTAAGTGTGACAAATGAAATGTTTGTCAACTAATTTAGTACATAAATTGTTAGAATATGCAGACTGAAAAAAAAGGCATTTGTTGAAATAACATATTTCGCAGTAATTAAACCAAATTTGTACCAATTATACATCACATTTTACATTTGAGACAAAAACCTATGTCTGCAATTATTCTTAATATTTAATCCCCTTTGCTTAAAAAGCCATTTCAGTCCACACAAACAATTTGATGTATTCAACTTTTAGTTGCTGTGACTTTTACCAAATAAAATCCAACATAAAAAATGTCTTGAGAAAATAATTCACAGCAGATTCAACTGCGAATAGATTTCCACAGAACACATCCTGGTCTGACTAACAGTTTTCTGTTCCTGAAAACATTTCTGTGAATGCATCCAGCAGTGCAGCAGACTAAGGTATCATAGTGATGAGCTGGACAGCTGGACCTCAGAGCACCGCTGTGCTGACCTTTCAAAGGCTTCAGATTTATTACACTTCCTCTACTGTCTGATACAGCAAGTTCTACCTGAATGAAATACAGTACAAGGCTCTGCATCTGTGTGTGTGTGTGTGTGTGTGTGTGTGTGTGTAACGCTAAAGTAATCCCACTACTTCTTATGAACAGAGCATTATTAAGGTTTTGTACAGCACACAGAAACCATTAGCTTCTGAACTAGTTAGCTGAAGTCCACTTAGAGAGGCGCTTCATTACTACACATGTACTAAAGGAAGTGTTACAAAAGCAAGTGCTCCATCAGCTCACTATGAAGGCTGTTGATGCACAATAGAAACCCAGATTCAATACTGTATCCATAAATTTTCATTTATTTCAATTTAATTAAAAACATGAGGGAATTTTGAGTTCTCTCACAGTGATTTCATTTTCATTTTTTGACTTATAAATTCTTGTGATATTAGAATTTCTTTTTACTGAGAAAAACAAACAAAATATATATATATTTTTAATTAGGTATGCAAAAACAACAACGTTCATAAAGCTGTGGCCGTCAGTATTGTTTCCTGGCAACAGGTAATTAAGTGTGTGAACCGAGTTGCTCTGTGCTGGTGGAAGCTTCCCTGTAATGTGGGACTTTGCATCAGCCTGGCGGAGTGGGAAGGTGTGCAGTTGGACGCAGAGCGCTGAATGAGGTCAGGGCTTTGTTCAGGGCTTTTATCTGAGTTCAAGGAAAACCACACATATCCACTCCATCCCATCAGACTCAACACAGATCAAACAATTCATGTAATGCATTGTGTGTGGGCGCACTCAAAAACTCTAGTGGCCAAAAGGTGAGCAAGTATCTACCTATATAGTTTTTGTTAATGTGCAAAAGTAGTAGCGTTGTGCATTGTCAGATTTATTTATTTTGTGTTTAATAAAACTCCAGGTGAAACCAGAAAACCTCAGAAACAAAACTAAAACCTAGCAGAATTGGAAAAAACTAAACGACAAGGATAACAACCAACTGTTTGCAGCACAGTATATTATTTATAGTGGATTTGTCTGGAGTGTTGATTCATCTTCATGCTGTAATAGAATCCAGGGTGAATAAGTGAATGGACCTCTGCTGAATCAGGCCAGTCACTTCAAAAGACAGAGACACTTATTTTAGGTCACTTATTTTTTGTCATTGTCTTTTCATGTAGAAATTAAGTTTTCACCTTGAGATTAAAGATCAAAAATGTTGATCACGACTGATTAAAGTAATAAGGGTGAAACATCTCGGGGGTGGATACTTTTTAAGGCCACTACATATGATTTTCTAAATACAAGCGTCCACTGATTAATCAGCATGCTATAAGGCAGAGCTGCCACCAGGCTGTACATGTAGCGTTCTGAAATCTGAAAGTTATACATTTGAATTAATTTCTCAATAACACCAGCTTCAGGTGGTTTTCTGCCCCATTCTTTTATAATCCAGCAGAGCTCAGTCTTACAGTTTCTAAACTCAGTAAACTTGACCTTTTAAGAACCAATCTTTCAGATACTGTAAATAGTTTATGCTATGTACTTCTTATTTAATCATCCACTTCTTTAAGGTCAGACAGATATAGTCTAAAGATAGTTGTTTTAGGATCACGTGTTGGAGGCAACTTTATTTTTATTGTTTTTAATTCTTCTCCCCATTGGTGAAAACAAAGACACAATCAACACTTCTCAGCCACAATGCAATAAGCCCCAAATCAATCCAGAAGAGAAAACTGGTAGAACAGAACAAATGTATAAAATGAGGTAGAATTTTCACTTTCTCCTCATTCACTTCAGATAAAATTGGATACACATTTCTAGCGAATGTCTCAGTTGGAGAAAATTTTATTCAAATCCTTTATATTTAATGTACATTTTTTGGAGATGTGCTACCAGCTCTCCATCTAACGGGTGAATTGAGTTTCCTAAATCTGCTGGGATTGACCCAATCCAGAACTGAAGGAAACTCTGTTTAAGCTGGCATCGAGAAAGGAGTCGCCTGGTTACTGATGGCCCACATCCAGGTGTCCCACCCTTCTTCCCCCTGTGAATTAGCCAGACTGAGCAGCCTACAGCCAACTGGTTTCACAGAGCACATCTGTTAACGGTCGCTCCTTCTCTTTATTACAGCGTGCATTTGTTGGTTTTAGTGACTTGGGCGAGTCACTAAATTTAAAACAATCAGATGTTTTAAATTTGGGCTAAAGCAACCTATAAAACATTACCGACTTTTCTTCCCCAGACACAAACATCATTG